TAAACCCCATTCCTGCAAGGTCTTGGGGAGTGCTGTGAACCCGGTGCTGCGCGAAGGCCGGCCCTGACATGTACCTTGGAAACCCCAAGCACCGCTTCAGTAGAGTTTAGGGTGTAGGGCTCAGGGTTTAGGGCTTAGGGCTTAGGGTTTGTAACTGCAGCTGGGATTTGGGTGTTGTTGTTTTTTTTTTTTTTTTTTTTTTTTTGGGGGGGGGGGCTTTTCAAAGTTGGAGTTGAGGGCCAGGGCTTAAGGACTTATTTTTATTATGATTATTATTATCATCATTATTATCATTTTGTTTACTTAGTTTTTTTCTGGCGGGGGGGGTTCAAAAACACCTTAAACATAAACCCTAAGTATTTCGGGTGTCGATCTGGAACCCTAAGCCCTGACACCCTCAAGAGAAGGTTTTGGAGTACTCTACTTTCATACTCTTTTTTGGTTCTGGGTTCCCGTTGTAGCTACTTGCACCCCCAAAAGCATATACTGTTTTTTCCAGGGTCTACTCCAAAGTAGGGATTTTGAGACCAAAAAGACATCTTGGGCTCCGCCTACAGTAGAGCCTGAGCATGCCCCGAGCACAAAATCGTTTCTCGTTGGTTGCTTCGCTTCCAACCCGCATGCACTTGGGGGTTTGACATTGGGTGTTGGGCCCTTTGCTTATATCATGGGTTTCCCTACTACCCCCTCAAAACAACCCCCCCCCCCCCCCCCCCCCTACGTTCCCCCCCGTAAATAACCTTAATTAGTCTTAAGTATCCCTAAGTAGCCTTAATTACGGTGGGAACCCAGAGGGGGTAGTATAGGGGGGTAGTAGGGTCAATGATTATAAACTTGGTAGCCTGGTGGCACCCCTTTGTTTGCCTTTTTTAGGTTCCATGTTCCCTTGTAAAGGAACCAACTCCAAAGAGGGTACGCTTGTTGCAGTATGGTTACTGGGCTACCACGTACAGGGGACCCTACCCTAAACCCTTAACCTTAAACCCAAGCAAGAACCACTATCTTTTTGTAATGCTCGCGTGCCACTGGGGTGCTATGCCTTTCCCACTGATTTTCTACCTATAGTGCCTTAACAATAAAGAAGAAGGTACCTTTAGAGGGAATTCCTCTCGTTGTTGTAGGACATGCAATGTAGGTATAAGGGTCCGTATTTTCCTAGTGTAAACCCACTGTATTCCTAGGATTCCTTTTATTCTATTTTATAGTAATACTAATAAAAATGATAATTATTATTATTGTTTTTTTTGTTGCGGGGGGGGGTGGGCCTAAGCATCTACTGCTACATTTGTTGCACCCTCGACGCCTGCTGCAGGGAACTCGGATCGCCGTGTCGCTGTTCCAGTCAAGGAGCAACCCGGGTTTCTCCAGGCTGTTGGTCACACGACCTCAATATATGGTTCCCTTTAGGGTTCTAGTAACCCTAAACCCTAGAACCCTAAACCCTACACCCAAAACCTTCATATCAGGTCCCCGGAAGTATGAGTATCAGCGTTCAGGGTTTAGAGCGAAATCCCCGGGATTTTCCTTGAGACGCGGAACCATCTCGACCCCATCCAGCCCCTGTAAATCCCAACCCGGCAACCCACAAAAAGCCCCTCCTTGCATTCGGCTAAACCCTAAACCCCATACTCCCAAAACCCTAAACCCTAACCCCAAAAGCCCTGAACCCTAAACCTTTTGGCCCTATATCACCATGAACCCCAGAGGCCCTAAACCCTAAACCTGTCGCCCCCCCCCCCCCCCCCCCCCCGTTTAGGGTTTAGGGTTTAGGGTTTAGGGTTTAGGGTTTAGGGTTTAGGGTTTAGGGTTTTCGTAACCCCTCCACAAGGCTGAAGACCCCTGAGCCGAACAACCCCCAAAAGCCCCAAACTAATGCTATATAGGGTCGGGCGTAAGCACGTTCATCTCAATGCGTGCTTTGGGTGTATCTATGGCAAGTATGCAGGGATTCTAAGGGGACAACCCTAAACCCTAAACCCTAAACCCTAAACCCTAAACCCTAAACCCTAAACCCTAAACCCTAAACCCTAAACCCTAAACCCTAAACCCTAAACCCTAAACCCTAAACCCTAAACCCTAAACCCTAAACCCTAAACCCTAAACCTAACCCTAAACCCTAAACCCTAAACCCTAAACCCTAAACCCTAAACCCTAAACCCTAAACCCTAAACCCTAAACCCTAAACCCAAACCCTAAACCCTAAACCCTCCCTACAGACCCTATCGGCCCTAAGCCCCCCAAACGCCGACCTCCGCAGGAGTATGCCCAGAAGCACCCGCACCGCAACCATGCTCCGTGGCTGCCCGCGCCCCCTAAACCCTAAACCCTAAACCCTAAACCCTAAACCCTAAACCCTAAACCCTAAACCCTCCGAACCCCCCGGTTTAGGGTTTCGGGTTTGGGGTTTGGGGTTAAAGACCGGCAACCTCTAACCCCAAGACCGGTTTAGGGTTTGGGGTGTATGGGGTTTAGGGTTTCTAGGGTTTATAGGGTTTGGGGTTTATAGGGTTTAGGGTTTAGTGTTTGGGGCACGAAGCCCGAGCCCTCCACCCCCTATTAAAGCCCCAAAAGCCCCCTAGAGCCCCATCCCGAAGTCCCGTAAAAGGCCCCCAAATCCTCTAACCCAAAGCCCCGAAAGCCACAAAAGCACCGAAAGCCCCAAAAGAAAGCCCGAAACACCCTAAACCCTAAACCCTAAACCCTAAACCCTAAACCCTAAACCCTAAACCCTAAACCCTAAACCCTAGAAAGCCACACGCCCTCAAGCGCTCGCTTGGGACCAAGGGCCCTTATGGTCTGGCCCCCTTACCGTTGCTTTGTATAGGGGTCCGAAGTATCCGAAGTATGGGCCCTGATTATGCATAGTGTCTGTGAAGGTTTTCTAACTAGGGACCCTAAACCCTAAACCCTAAACCCTAAACCCTAAACCCTAAACCCCAAACCCTAAACCCTAAACCCTAAACCCTAAACCCTAAACCCAGCTCAGGACCCTTAGGGATAGCCAAGGACTGGTCTCCAGACTCCAAGAGCAAGGTGGCCACCATGCTGCTGGGGCCTGCATCTGTTTTGGGGTTTAGGGTGTAGGGTTTAGGGTTTAGGGTTTAGGGCTAGGGTTTAGGGTTTAGGGTTTAGGGTTTAGGGTTTAGGGTTTAGGGTTTAGGGTTTAGGGTTTGAGAGTTTGAGGGTGTTTGGGCGTTTGAGGGTTTGAGGGTCCGAGGGTTTGAGGTTGGAACGTTCCCCCCTTATACTAACAATCCTTAATAGGGATTATCATAAGGGGTTACTATATTCCTTATTAAGGGCAAGGTATGGGTTTGAGGGTTCTAGGGTTGGAGGGTTTTTAGGCGTTTGGGGGTTGAAGGCTTGAGGGTTTTCCGGGTTTGTAGGGGTTTCAGGGTTTGAGTCCTTTATGGGTTTGGGGTTTAGGGTTCAGGGGTTTTGGGCTTACGGGTTTACGGATTTAGGGTCTTAGGGTTTAGGGTTTTAGGATTTCAGGGTTTAGGGGCTTAGCCGACAGTCGGGCTTCAAACTTATGTTTGGCGATCCTACTTTCGTAAGAGAAGCAAAGGGGTTTAGGGTTTAGGGTTTAGGGTTAAGGGTTTAGGGTTTAGGGTTTAGGGTTTAGGGTTCAGGGTTTAGGGTTTAGGGTTTAGGATTTAGGGTTTAGGGTTGAACCTTCAAAGCTTAAGCTTCGGCATTGCTACACCCTTGTTGTTGGAGAAGTCGGCCCCAACTGCGGGGGCTGAAGCCTTAAACCCTAGACCCTAGACCCAACCCTAAACCCTAAACCCTGAACCCTAAACCCTAAACCCTAAACCCTAAACCCTAAACCCTAAGCCTCAGACCCTTAACCCTAAACCCCCAACCCTAAACCCAAGAAGCGACGTTTCTGGTGAGTTTCCGGTCCCGGGATGTACACGCCCCCTCCCGGCCACCCCCTGGGTTTAGGGTTTAGGGTTTAGGGTTTAGGGTTTAGGGTTTAGGGTTTAGGGTTTAGGGTTTAGGGTTTAGGGCTCGATGCCAAGCTTCTTCGGAAGCTTAGGGCGTTCTCAACCCTAGAACTTCCCCGGGTTTTTTGGGTTCAGGGTTTGGGGTTCAGGGTTTAGACCTCAAGCTTCCCCTAAACCCTAAACCCTAAACCTTATACCCTAAACCCTACACCCTACACCCTACACCCTACACCCTACACCCTACACCGCCGGGATGGACACGCACGAAGGTCTGATGGCGACTTCTTCTCATCCGAGCAGTCCTACATCTCAGAGGCCACGGCATTTTCAACCTGCAGTCTCCTTAAGGTATGGGGTTTAGGGTTTAGGGTTTAGGGTTTAGGGTTTAGGGTTTAAGGTGTTTAGGGTGTACGGCGCTTTTGTTTGTCCTACGAGGCGAGGCTCGGCTAAGGGCGTGGGGTTTCCGGCGTAGGGCTGTTTAGGGTTTAGGGTTCAGGGTTTAGGGTTTATGTTTAGGGTTTAGGGTTCAGAGTTTAGGGTCTAGGGTTTAGGGTTGAGGCTTTAGGGCGTAGGGCTTTCTGGACAAGGTAGATAAACCATTCAGGGGAAGCAGGCAAATAGATGATAATTAGTGGGCCCGGTGAGCCGGCAGCGGAAGTTACGTCCAAGCATCGTTGGCAGCCGTTTTTCATGGCCACCAAAGCGTGAGGAGAATGGTGAGCGTGTCAAGGCTCAAGGCCCGTTGGGCCCACATGCTTGGAAACCCATCCCTATACCCTAAACCGTAAGCCCTCAACCCTAAATAGTATCATGCTAATGCAATAGAAGGCCATTCCCAAATCCCAACAAGCCAGTCTTTCCAGGCGAGCCTGATATGACCAGTACATCTGCGCACGTGCTCGTGGGGCAAAAGGCCTTTTCGTGGCTTCTCTAATAAGAATACCCAAAGGCTCCCATGTAGTACCTTTTTGGGGTAGTCTACCAGAATCCCCTACAGCTGGCCCAAAAAGGAACTACATTGGAGCCTTTGGGTAGTAAGAATAGTGAGCCATGGGCGGAATGTGCTTAAAGCGCCCCGTTGGTTGCCCTGTCGCCCGACATCAGCAGCATGCCCCTATGTGGGTGGTGGCCGTTAGAGACGTCCTTGACATGACAGGGAGATTCAAGCCACACCAAGCCTCCAGGATTGCCCAGTAGTGCCCTGTTTTTTCCTTTTTTTTTTTTTGGGGGGGGGGGGGGGGGTTTAGTAGGTTCCCTTTTATAAGACCCCTTTAAAAGCAACAAAAAGGGGCACCCTATTGTTAAGCCTTGGTTGCTGGGCAGCCTAGGTCTTGAAGGCTGCAGGGCTTCTGTTGACTTGGAACCCGAAGATGTTTACGATATTCATCTCGCACCAGTGGCTAGATCTCCATCATCCCGATCCAGATGGGCTCCAGTTGCAGGTGCTCCAGCGCACGTTGCGGAACGTGATCGCAAGGAAGCTGAAGATAGAGAGCGACATCGTCTCGCATTTCTACGGCCGTCCGCCCAAAGCAGCGCTTGAACAAATTCAAGGGGCGTACCTTTGGTTGGATTACTTTTGCGTCCCTCAACTTGTGGATGGGCATGGGTCACCTGGACTGGCAGAAGAGCAGCTGCGGTACGTCCACAGCATTCCCAGCTACGTAGAACTTTGTAACCTTTTCCTAGCTCTAGTGCCGACAGCCACGCACCGTGACACAAGATCAGCGTGTTCATTCAACAGCTGGCTGCAACGCGGATGGTGCCGCACAGAACTCTGGTGTCATTTCCTTTCAGCAAGATCAAAGGCCCCCATCGTGGTAGTGAAGAGTCACGATGCGGCCATATATACCGCACCCTTGTGGCACCAATACCCCGTTGGCATGGGTGATTTCGCCCTTGATGAGGACCGGAAGTCATGCAACCAGATCATCCGGGTTGCCTTGAACGACTATCTTTCAGAACTACGTGAGTCCAAGAACAAGACGGCCTTCCGGTTGTACCTGTCATTGTTCGAAGACTTGACTGGTCTTCCCCGAAAGCGCCGCAGTTTCGAAGAATTCCTGGCCGAGTTTTCCTTCGCGAAGCCTGTGCGGCAGTACAGAGGCCTGGGGCCAATAGCCTGCGGAGCACTCTCAGGACTCTGTGGTGCTTTACTGCCACTTTAGATCCTTAGCCTTTTTTGGGTTTCTTGGGTTTCTTAACAAGGCAGCTAAGAATTAAATTCATAGCTGCCCTGCTAAGTGCAGCCAAGATCCTAGGTAGGATATGGGGGACCCTTAAACGGGAACCCCTTCTGAACCCTCTTCTGGCTCTCTTAAACAGGGACCTTATTCAGAGGGTCTTTATCCCCAAGGGTGCCCCTAATCCTATCCCCTACAAGAGGAGATTCTGACCTACTTCGCAGCCTCTCAGATGCCAAAGCCTCCCTCCACACCAACGCGCCTGGCATGCCCGAGACCTTCAACATGCCAGACTTCACGCCACTGCACCTTAGGGACTGGGTAGGTAGCCTTTATAAAATTTCTGGGTTTAGGGTTTAGGGTTTAGGGTTTAGGGTTATATAGAAGAATGGTAGTGTAGGCAAAAAGGCTAGCCCTTCTTTTTGGGGGGGGGGGGGGGGCTTGGGTATTCCCTCTCAGGCACCTGGCCCTGTGGTTCCGAAGTCACGACCTGCGCGTGGTGGGCACGCTCCTGGAGCTGCGTACCGATCCCAACTGGTCGAGCATCAACATTGGCCCAGCCGTGGGTGCTTCTCACAGCGCTGAGGCTGTGGAGCTGCTTGTAAGGTACCTAGGACCTCGGAGAAGGGCCTTATTTTCCAATTGCTTTATCATATTATATATATATATATATATATTTTTTGCTTTATCATATTATATATATATATATATGATTTTTTTTTTTTTTTTGGGGGGGGGGGGGGGTTTTAGGGGTCCCCTTAAGTAAGCCCCTCTAACCCACAAAGGGCACCCCTTTGTTCTTCCTAGGTTGCTCTTGGGCCTAGGTATGGTGCCGAGCTGAACTTCCCCGGGAAGCTCCTGCATCAGTTTGCCCCACTCCATATTCAAGCAGGCCGGGGGGTAAACCCTAAACCCTAAACCCTAAACCCTAAACCCTAAACCCTAAACCCAATTGCAGCAGGCAAGGGGGTTCCATGCGACGTGGTGGCCAAGATGTTGGAGCTACGAGCCTTGGTAGCCCAGTGGTACCCTTTTCCCCTTTTTTTGGTTCGCGGTTTAGGGTTTAGGGTTTAGGGTTTAGGGTTTAGGGTTTAGGGTTTAGGGTTTAGGGTTTAGGGTTTAGGGTTTAGGGTTTAGTAATTTAGGGTTTAGGGTTTAGGTATTCCCTCATAAAGTAACCAAGACACAAAAAAAAGGTGCCCTTATTATAAGATGGTTACTTGGCTACCGAGGAGCAGATCCGCGTGGCGGCAGGGGCGGGTTTGGAAGCTGCTCACCTTTGTGCCAGGTCGCTTTTTCAGGCGACTCGGAGAACGACCTGAGGTCAGCTCAGGTGCTCCTTGAGAGCCAGGCAGACCCCAATCAACTCTGCAGGCCTACAGGCGTTGCAAAGAGCTTTGAGTTGATGGCCAGAGCTTACAGTCGCTGTTGCTGGGGGGAGCCCAGCATACTTATTCGAGCTCACAGTGATGTGAGCAGCACGCCTTTGGGTTTCTGCGCGCTGTTCGCCAACGAGGGTCTCTTGATATACTTGCTCTGTTCGAGGGCGGACCCAGACGTACGGAATGACAGGGGCCTTCGACCAATTGACCTTGCCACTTCTGAGAGAATCCGAGCGATTCTTCAAAATCCTGCTCCACACATGTACCAGCTGGAGCCTATATCCCCCCTTGGGATGATTTTTAATTTTTGTTTGTATAAAACCCAAGAGGAAAATAACAAATGATACTTTTATTAAGGTTCTCAGGGGAGTATAGGAGCACGACGCCGAGATCATCGCCGAACGCGTGTGACAACGGGATGCTGAGAATCCACCCCTCCGCCGGCCGGCGATTTTTTACCATTTTTCACCACATAACAGTTTAGGGTTTAGGGTGTAAGGTTTAGGGTTTAGAGTTTAAATAGCCAGCATGCCGCCACAGCCCTTTAAAAGGCTTCTTCTTGCTGGCAGCTGGTCTCACCTCAGCGAGACCCTTGCATGTTCTTACCCGCAATCTAAGTTACAACGTCCATTTCTATGGTTCACACACACATATGTATATACATAAATAAATAAATAAATATATATATATATGTATACACACAGACACACTTTTGTTTAACCTGGCCGTGGCAGCTAATCTTTTGCAGCCTTGTGGCAATCACCAACATCACCACACTTTGCATCTGCCAGGGCATCGATCGTCGGGTAGAAAAAGAAATCCACGGCGCAGCGGCGCGCGTGGGATGCTACAGTTATCACCTCTCCCGTCTTTGGCGGCAGGTGTTTTAGACTAGAGTCCTCCCGCGTGGTGTGAAACAGCTCGCGGGCGGCACATTCCCCAGAGTGTGCAAGTGAAATGTGCTGTGGTGGGCACGTGAATTGGGGATGTGGGACCTGGTCCTTAAGCCCTAAACCCGGCCAAGTCACAGGAAGCTTTTGAGGTTTGGGGCTAGCTCCCTCCCGTCCCCCCTCCCTGCCTCCCCCCCTCCCTGCCTCCTCCCGGGTTTAGTGTTTGCGAGTTGTCGGGGAGACCGTAGACCATGGGGCGATTCAGAGGAAAGCGCCTGCACAAAACATCAAATCAAGGGTTTCAGGGATGACCATGCTGCCCGAAACCCTAAACCCTAAACCCTAAACCCCAAACCCCAAACCCTACACCCTACACCTTAAACCCTAAACCCTAAACCCCAAACCGCTCGTTTGGCAGGAAGTCTCCAGCGTGCGGATTGAACTTGTCTCCTGGCAGAGCTAGCGGTTCGGGGATGACTGCTCAGGCTGTCCTTGGGGACGCACATGAACCCTGGCTTGGTACGGTTTAGGGTTTAGGGTTTAGGGTTTAGGGGTTTAGGGTTTAGGGTTTAGGGTTTAGGGTTTTTTTGTTTAGGGCTTCATACTTCAACCCTACAAGTCTTTGGTAGCCCAGGTGGTACGCTTTACCCCTTGTTTTTCTCGTTATGGGTTCCCTTATAAAGTGGCCAACCCCCAAAAGGGTTCCCTTATTACAATATGGTTCCGAGCTAACAGGGTTTATGGTTCTATAACTGTTTGAGGCACGTATAGTAGTATAGGGTATATTCTTTTCAAGGGTTGGCTTTTGGGTCGCTGAGGTGACCATAAGCCCGAAACCCTACAAACCCTAAACCCCAAAACCTAAACTTTAAACCCGAAACCCTATAAACCCTATAAACCCCATAAACCCCATAAACCCTAAACCTAAACCCTTTCACCTCCAGGACCGTGGTCGTCTGAGCCCTGAAATGTTGAAAGCACCGGCGGTGGATCCCCCCCCACCCATGTTTGGGTTGGGGTTTAGGGTTTAGGGTTTAGGGTTTAGGGTTTAGGGTTTAGGGTTTAGGGTTTAGGGTTTAGGGTTTAGGGTTTCGGCCTTTGGGGGTTCCGGGTTTACGGCTTAGGGTTTAGGAGTTTTGAGCTTTCGGGTCTTAGGGATTTAGGGGTTTCAGGTTGTTTTCGGGTTTAGGGTGTAGGCTTTGCAGGGCTTAGATTCCTGATAGTTTTTGTTAGGAAGATGTGTGAGACAACCCTTTGGGCAAAGAGCTTCGCCCCACGGCCGGGATTTCATGTTCCGGATGCCTTTTCAAGGTAAGCCCGCAACCCTCAACCCTAAACCCTAGACCCCAAAAACCAAAGCCCTAAACCCTAAACAACCCCCAGACCCGAAACCCCTGAACCCGAAACCCTAAACCCCTAAACCCGAAACCCTAAACCCCTAAACCCCTAAACCCCTAAACCCCTAAACCCCCAAACCCCCAAACCCCTAAACCCTAAACCCCTAAACCCCTAAACCCCCAAACCCCCAAACCCCTAAACCCGAAACCCTAGAACCTTTAAGCGGCCCTGGCTCCATCTTGTACTGCGAAGACACCGCCGGGTATCTAACCCAGGGACGAACGGAGGGGCCCTTGAAAGGGACCTTGGGGGAAATGCAGGGGCTCCTTCGGAATATAGGGACTATATATATATACATAATACATATGTACAAGGAGGGCACCCTAGTTATAAGTAAAGTTATAAGAACCCTAAGTTGGGTTATAAGGAACTTGGGTTAAAAGTCCCTTAAGTACAGTTACTATAGTAAGGGGGCCCCTCCAGTATAGGGGAATACGATTTGGGGGTGTCCTTCTAGACAGCCCTTTCACATGTTGTTTTCATTGTTTTGGCGGGTACATCGGAGTTCTGCGGCTCTGTGAACATTGCCTCCGAGTGCGAGCGACGGGTTTAGGGTTTAGGGTTTAGGGTTTAGGGTTTAGGGTTTAGGGTTTAGGGTTTAGGGCATTCCAACAACAAACCGTGAACCTGACCTCCGCCCAAAAGCCGTGAAGTGGGAGATGGAAACGACATCGAAGAGATCTGCCCGATGGGAAACAAATCCGGAGAATCGAGATCACGCTCCCGGGGAAAGAGATTTATCAACAGACACGGGGGAACGACAACAGATATGGAGGCCCTCCTTATCTCCCTCTACTAACTCGCTTGCCCTGAACCTTCAATCCTAAACCCTAAACCCTAAACCCTAAACCCTAAACCCTTCAATCCTGAACCCGGGTTCCGGTCCCCTTTTCTGCCCCGTTCAACCAAAAAGGCCACCCGTTTTTATTGCTAGGTCACTCTTGGGTTTAGTAATAGGTGGCGGTCTCCTTGTGAGGTTTGGGTTTAGTTTAGGGTTTGAGGCCGTTTTCCGGTGAAGTTAAAAAAAACCCTAAACCCTACACCCTAAACCCTAAACCCTAAACCCTAAACCCTAAATTGGGGTTTAGGGCTAGGCTTCGGCTCTCGCCATCCTCTTTCCCTTATAAGGACGCGGTCAGCCAGAGGGCCCTGAACCCCAAACCCTAAACCCTAAACCCTAAACCCCAAACCCTAAACCCTAAACCCTAAACCCTACAAAGCCTAAACCCTGAACCTTAAGCCCCTCTTCTGAGGGCAGTCAGAACGCGTGAGGTGGGCAAGTCCGGCGAGACGCAGGTGCTAAAGGCGAAGACGCCGCTGCTGTCAGGCCATGCCGGTGACCATTCATGTTTTTAGGGTTTAGGGTTTAGGGTTTAGGGTTTAGCGTTTAGGGTTTAGGGTTTAGGGTAATTCCTAACCCCCAACCGTTTGCAAGCCCTAACCCCTCACCCGGAACCCCTAACCCCTAACGTCAACCCCTATCCCCTAACCCCTAACCCCTAACCCCTAACCCCTGACCCCTGACCCCTGACCCCTGACCCCTAACCCCTAACCCCTAACCCGGAACGGCTTGTGCCACGTGTTCAGAGATAGGGCTCCCCAGATTGCTTTTGGGTACGCTGGTTTTGGCAGGGCGAGGGCGAAGTGGACTGTGGGGTTAGGGTGTTAGGGTGTTAGGGTGTTGGGGTTTAGGGTTTAGGGTTTAGGGTTTAAGGCTTAGGGCTTAGGGTTTAGGTTTTAGGGTTTAGGGTTTAGGGTTTAGGGTTTAGGGTTTAGGGTTTAGGGTTTAGGGTAAGGGTGTGCACATTTTACGGCCCAAGGATGCGTGAGGTTTCTGGAGCAAGACTCGCTATCGCAATCGATGCCCCTACCTTGGGCAGGACATGAACCCTGGAAGGGTTTATGGTCCACATACCTTAACAGGTTTAGGGTTTAGGGTTTAGGGTTTAGGGTTTAGGGTTTAGGGTTTAGTATAGTACATGGATGTATGACCTGCCACCCGCGGCGTTCCCGTTATCGTCTAAGACTGATTGACACTTATGCGGTCGCAACCTTCCATCCCAAACACACTCATGCAAGAACGTTGGTATTTACGGCGTCTTCTCTGCCTCATTGCGACCCAAAGCCTAAACCCTAAACCCTAAACCCTAAACCCTAAACCCTAAACCCTAAACCCTAAACCCTAAACCCTAAACCCTAAACCCTAAACCCTAAACCCTAAACCCTAAACCCAAACTCGCAGCCTTCATCCACAACCCTAAGCATGCCTCTCCAACTTCCATGGTAAGTTTTTTTTGATGCGTACCCGCGCAGAAGTAGTTTCGAAGCAGCTACAGGCTCTTAATAGGCTCTTAACGAAAACCGAGGCGTTTTCTGATATCCGTCCAACTTTGAATGCACGAAAGCGTGGCAGGGGGCGTGTTGAAAAGACGGCGCACCCGCCGGGGTTGGGTTGAGGGTTTCGGTTTTAGGGTTTGGGGTTTAGGGGTTTAGGGGTTTAGGGTTTAGGGTTTAGGGGTTTAGGGGGCATAGGCATCAAAAAAAAAAATAATAAGCATCAAAAAGAAAAATAATAGGGATCAATAAAAAAAATAATAGGCATCAAAAAAAAAAATAAGCCATCCGGCCCACCTGCGTGGTCCTCTGGTCCTCTGGTCCCGTGGTCCTCTGGTCCCGTGGTCCTCTGGTCCCGTGGTCCTCTGGTCCCGTGGTCCTCTGGTCCCGTGGTCCTCTGGTCCCGTGGTCCCCTGGTCTTGTGGTCCCCTGGTCCTCTGGTCCTCTGGTCTGCTTGTCTGTCCGCCTGGTCCTGCGGGTCCTATGCGTATAAAGAAATAGTTAAATTAGACAAATAAGTAAAAATCAATAAATATAAATATATATTATATACACACGATAGTGAAGGTCAACGTGTGTATATATATATATGTATGTATGTATGTATGTATGTGCATATATATATATATACATATTACATAATACACATTACATTACACATTACCTATTATATATTATACATTATACATTATATATTATATATTATATATTATATATTATGT